ATAAGTCAGTTTTTATTTTATTTCAAAAAATTAAGTAGATAAAATTTTCACTTTTACTTTATTTATAATATTATCGACGTATAGCTAGTTTTTAACTTCCACAAAAAGGAGTGGGTACACGTGTAAGTAACTCACTCTCCCTACAATGGCGGCCATGAAAGCTCAAACCTGGGATCGCCACTCCCACATAAACGGCCCGCCCTTTTCTACTACTATGCTTTTGTTTTTCTCTTACTTTTACTTCTCTTCCATCTAGTCACATTTTTTTTTCACGATTCTAGACTTATGTTTTGCTAGAACTCGGCGAATTATGATAAATATCCATGTCGATACGTTTAATTCTTTCTGTAATCCGAAGAGGGAATCACTACATTCTTAATGTAGTTGAAAAAATATAGGTTTTTTCTTTTCTTTTTTTGTTTGTTTTTAACGATTGTTGAGTTCAAATCAAGGAAACAATAGTACAGCTGTCCACGTGCTGTGCTTAAAAGGCAAAGAAGAAAGAGATAAAATGTTGAGCGCGAAACAGATTACAGTATTGATGTATTGGATTGGTGGGTGGTAGAGAAAAAATTGTATGGCTCCAGGTACCGATACCTCCCCTGGTCGCGGTGGTGAATTTGAAAACGGGGTTTCTAAAGAAAATAAAAATGTAACCGTTATAGAAGAGGAAAATCATGACGAATCTGACAACTCAAACCAGACGAAACCAGGGCGGCCACCTCGAAATCTTCCGGTCATGCGCCACTGCAATAGCCAAGCAATGTTGGCAGGTACATCAAAATTGGTGAGTAGATCCTTAATGTCTAATTCTCATGTTCCTTTTTGTGATATAAGATCTTTTACTTGGTTGAATGGTGTGGGATCTTCTGGATGTGAATTTCTACCATTTGAATGAAAAAGTGGATCGAGTTTGTAGTAACTAATTTTTATTTTTTTGAAAGGTAAAGTAACTAAATTCATATTTGCTATTACAATTAGTGGGAGTTAGACTTGTCTGGATATGTGCTCTTTAGGCATTGTACTAAGGGATTTTAAGGTCAGGGTTCTTTGATTTTAAATTATATTAGATTCATTAATTATCCATAAGGTAAGAGAGAAAGAGCATGATGTATTTGACTATAAGAAGATAATTTGATCTTAAGGTTATATTTTCAAAATGTTACAGAGGTCATAATTGATCAATCTATGGAAATAGTTCAGGGCAATCTAAATAAGTTTTTACAGATTGCTTGAATACTAGTAGTAGTTAATTTCTTTACTGGAATTGCTATGCTTTCATAATTTAAATGGCCTCATTGTGGCAGTAATCGAGGGAGAATTGTTTCATATAAACAATATAATTTTTTGTTTTATCGTTTGGATTTTCTGAAAGGTAAATGTCTCCGTTTTAAGTCTTTTCCATCTTGTGAGATAATTAAGACATTATATTTTCAAAGTGCAACGGATCTTGAACTGCTATTTTCATTGCATTTACTGATTACAACTTGGATGTACAAGTCCATGTTTCTCATCATTATATTGGTGATTTTATTAGTACTACGGTTATTAAAGTAATGTGTATATATTTTTTATGTGATTAATCACAATTATTGTATTAAAGTCTCCATCAGGTGAGAATTCTGGATTTTTACCTGCCTTCCGCTCGGGCAGCTGTTCTGAGAAGGGACCAAAGCAATATATGGAGGATGAATATGTTTGTGTCGATAATCTTTGTGAGCATCTTGGTGCAGCTGATAGTTTCCCTTCTCCTGGAGCATTTTATGGGGTCAGTAACTTTTTTTCTGTTTAGAGCTGTTTTTCTAATCTGGATTGGGAGTCAACCTAATGGGGAAGTGATTCTTTTAGTGGAAAATAAAAAATTTATTGATAACATGAAGCATAAATTTGACGTGATCAAGTATTAATATTTATTCCTGATTTTATGTTTTTAACCATATTCCACCTAGCATATTTGTTAATTGAATTCAAAAGTTAGACATAACCCTGGATTGATTTTGAACCTTTTCTTTTCCGTGTGGTAACAAATTTAAGAAAAAGAAATCTTAGATAATATGTCTTGTAGAATTGTTTCAGTGAGTTGATGAACCAATTATTTCTTGCCCAAAAACAGACAGGAAATGACTCAACCATGCACCTAAAATAATACAGTAATGGCCTTGTTACTTGTTCATGGACTGTCTTATTTGCTTACAGGTGTTTGACGGTCATGGTGGGGTTGATGCTGCATCTTTCACCAGAAAGAACATCCTTAAATTCATCACTGAGGATGCCCATTTCCCAAGTGGGGTAAAAAGAGCAGTTAGGAATGCTTTTATTAAAGTTGATCATGCGCTAGCTGATGCTAAGTCTCTAGATCGTTCATCTGGTACTACTGCCCTGACTGCTCTTATTTTAGAACGGTAAGAAACTGAGCTGCTTTCTTACATCAGCCTAATTGTTCAAGTGACACACTCATAGATTGATATTTCGGCATTATCATTTGTGATGGATAAAGGATAATTTTTGAAACCTGAGCAAAGGAAATCACATCCACATCAGTCATTAATGTAGTCAGCTTCAAAGAGAAAAAGAAGAATGCCAAAAATAAAATGCATCGTTAGCCATCTAAATGATTTTGTTATTGATGTTCTCCTTATTTAGTTTGCAACAGGATATGTACACGACAATTTCCTCCTCATTCAACAAAACAAAAACACCTACATCAGTAGTTGTTTCGATACACACGTAAAGATATATGATATTACAATATTATGCAAGTGTGAAATCCTGCTAATAGGAAACCAAAGGCATTTGATATTTGTTGTTCTCTAACTTATGTTAGATGAGAATGTGGATCCTGGGTGTTGAGATCCGAAATTTGTTGATGATACTAGTGTGAGTTTTTGTTGAATAATTAAGGTAGAACATGAACACAAATTTCCAGCATATCCATCTCTACAAACCTTAAGATATTGTGTCCAACAATCTTTCTCAACCACTATGAAGTTTATGTAATATATTCTACCTTGACATGATTCTATAAATTAGATCTGCTTGCAGTATTCCACCTCTGATCTGATGATATCAATAGATCTCCTTTTAGGTGGACTATAAACTTGTTCCAAATCTCGAGCTGGTCATTCATATACTTCATCTTTAGATCTCGTAAATCTTCCAACAAATTGAAGCTTTAGTTCAAAAAGTAATTATGTATAAACTTAAAAATGAAAGAAGCTCATGCCAACTTGTCCAACGTGGACAAAGCTGTTCTCATTCATGAATTTGTAGCCTTTTCTTCTCTTTACTTCATGTGTAACATTGAGTATTCTTTACTTAAAATTAGGACTGTGGCTTTGAAATCGTTGGTTCGGGTTCATGTGGTTTAGGTTTCAAGCGTTTCAATCGAACCAAACTGTGTGGAAATGATTTGGTTATGTTTCAATAGTAAAACTGCTTAAAACCAAACTGAAACATACACCCAATTTTTTCCAAAAAAAAAAAAATATATAATAATAATAAAATAAAATAAAATAAAATTACTTATTTTGCCTAAGATATTCAATAAATTTACTTGCTAGTTTGCTTCTATTGTCTTTTTAGGAAAATAATAATTTATTTATGATAATATATATATTTTTTTTATCTAAAGAATGAAATTGCAAGCTTAAATGTTATTATAGAACTTTATATTAATTTATTGATTTAAGCTTGTATTGGACAAATATAAGTCGTGTGTGTGTTTGGAGGGTGTTAAATGTTATAGAGAAATTGCAAACCATTATATTTATTATTTGACACGTTTGAAAGGTGTTATTTTTATGTAGCTAAAGTCGTGGTTTGAAACAAAATCAAATTGCAAAAATTAGTTTGGCTTGAAAATATTCAAAAGCCACCCAAACCCAACCGTGTTGATGCATTCTAAAATGATATGTTCATTTCTTTGTGGATTTGCAGGACTATGATAATTGCTAATGCTGGGGATTCTCGGGCTGTGTTGGGAAAAAGAGGAAGAGCAATTGAATTGTCAAAAGACCACAAACCTGATTGTACCTCCGAAAGATTGAGGATAGAGAAGCTCGGGGGTGTCATTTATGATGGCTATTTAAATGGCCAACTCTCGGTTGCTCGTGCTCTTGGTGACTGGCATATGAAGGGCTCTAAAGGTTCAAAGTGCGCATTAAGCTCTGAACCGGAGCTGGAAGAGGTGGTTATAACCGAGGAAGATGAGTTCATAATAATTGGTTGTGATGGTTTATGGGATGTGATGAGCAGCCAATGTGCAGTAACTATTGTAAGGAAAGAGCTGATGCTGCACAATGATCCCGAGAAGTGCTCCCAAGAGCTTGTGAGGGAGGCACTCAAACGCAACACCAGCGACAATCTGACAGTTATCGTGGCTTGTTTCTCTCTAGATCCTCCGCCTCGGATTGAAATTCCTAAATCACATAGGAGGAGGAGCATATCAGCTGAAGGGCTGGATCTTTTAAAGGGTGTCTTGAGTAATATCTAAAAAATGATACTATTTTCTTGCAAGATTAGATAGCTGAGTTTTTTGCAATGCTGTTTGGGTATTTTTTTGAATTTCAGGTGTCTCCACTGCATAGAGTATAGGAGTAGACATATGTTGCCCTTAGTGTTCTTCATCTTTGGAAACATCATGGCAGTTGGTTAATTATAATTTCCAGTATTAGGGATTAGATGGATTTTATTAGTCACTAGTCAGTGTATCGTTTCAATAATGATGTTAATAAATATTTTTATTCTCTTAAGTTTGTGTATCTTACTATGCTACTAAAAATCCCTAGTTAAAGTTTACGATTAATTTTAGCCATACATTTCGCTGGATTCATAATTTTACAATTACATATTTCATCAATTTTTATCAAAACTTACTATAACTCTGATTTTAATCGAAACTAAAGAGGAGCTATTGTGTCGATTTTTTAGATTTTTATAATCTTTTTAGGTTTCAACTTCACTATCAATATTATTATATTTATGATTGTCAAAATTTTATATCGACCAATTTGATAAGACTTTGGAAAAGAATTATTATTGAAATTATTAAGTAGTTTTTTAATAAGTTTGGATAATTTTTTAAAAATATTTTATTTGACTAAAAGAACTATTATAGTGTGTTTGATTGTCAATATTTTTCACTCGAATTGTTGCTTTTATATTGTTTGATTGACTTCTTTATCATGAAAAACATTTTTCTACTTTTCGTCATGTGAACACGTTTTCCTCAAAAAATCAAGGAAAATATTTTCTTTAGTGGGAATGAGATTTTATTTTCTACGAAATTCTCTCTCTCTCTCTCTCATCTACCCATCAATAAAAAATCGATAAGCATAATATTTTTTAGATTGAAAATTAAATCAATCAAACACATTTAATTGATAATTTCTATATACATAAGTTATAGGTAATTCAATTATCTAGAATTTATTTTTTTTTACGTACAAATTTCATACTTCCAATCAAATGCATTAAGGAAGTTGGTGTGATTTTTTTTTTAATGTTTTTTTAATTTATTTAATTTTCTTTTTATTTCCAGAAAACTCTTCCACAAAAATAGAAGCAAAAGCATATTTTTTGCCAAAAGGGCCTAAATATTATCAAAGAAGAATTTAAAATTAAATATGAAAAAAAGGAAAAGAAAAAATTGTAAATAGCAAATGTGTAATTGCCCACTGTGCGCAAACCTATACGCTGCCTCCATTTCGCAGATCCATGTCTACTCTGAAAGAAATCCTGACCCGGCGGCCGGTGGCTGCGACGATCCGCCTAACCGTTCCGGCGGGTGGGGCGAAACCGGCGCCTCCGGTGGGTCCGGCTTTGGGTCAGTACCGGCTGAATCTGATGGCCTTCTGTAAGGACTTCAACGCGAGGACCCAGAAATACAAGCCCGATACGCCGATGGCGGTTACCATAACGGCGTTCACGGACAACACTTTCGAGTTCATCGTCAAGTCTCCTACTGTCACCTGGTATCTGAAGAAAGCGGCGGGCGTCGAAAATGGGAGCAGCCGGCCGGGTCACGTGACAGCCTCCACTATCACACTCAAGCATGTGTACGAGATCGCCAAGATCAAGCAGAGCGATCCTTTCTGTCAGTACATGTCCTTGGAGTCCATTTGTAAGTCTATTATTGGGACCGCTAATTCCATGGGGATTAACGTCCAGAAGGAGCTCGATTAGTTTCATGTACTGTTTCAAACTGACTTGAATTTAGTAATTGCAAGTGAGTAATGGGTTATAAAAGGGAATGTGTGGTCGCATTGTGTGATTTTGGTGTTATAAATTCTTGAGCAGCATGTTCGAATTTATATCACTTTCTTTTTACTTTTTCATCAGATTTTGATTAACTCCCTAATGAAATTTACATGACTACGGGGAAATACGTTTGCTTAAATGCTTCAAAGAAAATAACAATAGGTACAGTAATATAACGTATTCCATTGAAAGAGCTTGCATGAGTGAACTATTTACATTTAAATCCAAGATTTTTATTTATTTTTAGTTTCACTTAGAAAGAAACCTTTGAGGACCATGGAGATTATCTTCGTAATAAAAGCAGTGTGTTTGGCATCTTCTCATTCCATTATTGTAGCTTAAACATGCTAGATGCACATATCACGATGATGGTCTCCAATAATCCTTTTTTCTTTAGATTCTAGTAGAACTAGACGTGCTTAAATCAAGTTGCTTTCTTTTTTATTTTCTGGATAAATATCCTTGATATAGGCATTAAAACATGAATTTCGATGTTTTTAGTTTTGTTAGTTTCATAAAGGTCATACATCTAAGCAACCTGGGGGATGTTGGGGATGGATGGGTTCAGATCCTTATGGCTTTCATGGCTTCCAACAGATTAAAGTTTTTAGGAAGACAAAGCAAACTAAAGAAGAGCACTCTAAATAGCAGGTGCAATAATGTTTTGCGAGATCCAAATTCTTGATTTATTGTTGAGCTCTTGCAATCCGAGTAATTTCCCTATTTAAGACTTTGATGCTATGTTTCTGTTGTGCAATCTGGGGTTACCTTGGTGATGGGCTTCAGCAACTTTGGGAAACTGCATATCAGAAAGGAGACGAAAATTAAGTCTCCGATTGGCAAAATTTATAAATCATTTATAAATGGTCAAATTTCATTTTCGACCACAGATTTTAATGTATCCACAAGTACTCTCCACCAATCATTTCTATCTATATATAAATTAAATTGTTCTGAAATGGAGGCTAAAATGTTGCTCATCCTTAGTGCTGTTATGATATCAATCAAATCTAGTATATCCACGGCCTTTTAAACTACTTTACTACCACATTTCTGGATTGATAAGGAAATTATGCGATTTATTCTTGATGACATTCTCCGTCTCAAGAAGAATTTTGAGGTCAGAGTCATACACAAATTACTTGTTGCAAAGACCCAGTTGGTGACTTTCACAGTCGCCCTATGCATAGTTGAGAATTGACTTAAATGGAACCAGTTACCTACCCACCATGCAGATGTTATTCTGCGGAAAAGAAGTCGTCTAAAAGATTTCTTCACTGAAGAAACGGGTTGAGATACCTATTGATGAACCAAGTCCCAAATGGAAAATCACCTTCAAAACTCTGTTATATCCAACATGAATGATTCCTTCTTCAATCACATCAAGGCACGCATAGTGATGAGGCAAATTTTTAGAGGTCTGTTTGACTTTGTCGTCGTGCGATTTCTAGTGTATCTCGCCCTTCAGATAGGGGGAGATTGTATCCAAGATTTTTTGAGTTCTGTAAAGAGATTGTATCCGATGTTTGCCCCTCCTGGCAATGTCTAATCCCCTTCGCGATATACTTTCAGCAGTTCTTGAGAAGGCATGGTAGCATCAAAATAATCAAGATTGTTTCCTTTTTCTGAAGTTTTGGTCTAGATGACTAGAAGTACAGAGGATAGCAGTAATATTAATCTAAATCTAACATAGTAATGGCATTGACAAATGCAAATGATACTAAAAAGGAGCAAATCCAAAAAATAAAAAATATTAAAAAATTAAAAAAATAAAATTCTTATTCAAAGAGATAGGTAAAACGCTTCAGAAAGTACACAGCCATATAAAACAATTTGAAGTTGGGTGCCCAACATGAACAAGAAATTCAGAGCCCATATGTGTTTTTCACCCTTGTGATAGAGATGGAAGTTTTTAGGAAGACAAATCAACTACAGTGCTAAAGAGGAGCGCTCTGATTATCAAGTGTAGAAATGTTTGACTAAATCCAAATTCTTGATTTTTTTTTTCTGCTTTTGAGATCCAAGTAATTTGCTTGTGAAAGACTTTGATGCTATTTTATGTTGTTCAATATAGAGTTATTTCAATGATGGACTTCCACTACTCTTGAAAATTGCATATCAGAATGGAGATGATAAATAAAATGTCACGCATTCCTCTTATTGTATTGTTGCATATGTATGATGTTGTAAGCTACTTGAGTATCACATTCCTTAATTGACAGGGAACTCGTGTGATTTAATCTTGATGCCATTTTCCATCTCATGAAGAATTTTGAAGTCAGAGTGATCTATATTATTTTTTGGGAGTTCTTATTGCAATATGGACCAACCTTCTATCCCCATTTAAAAATGTGAATAAACAGTATATGTAAGTTTCACGTTGGAAGCTTCTTTGATGCCATGGTGCTGGATTGGCCTAATATCTGTCTTAAGTCCGTGGTTGGTTTGTAATCATACTTCATATAGCACATGAATTTCTTTATGGTGAATTAGTACTTTTCACTTGCCAATTTTACTTCCTCAAGGCAGACTTTCACGCATATCTTTTGCTCTTGTAAATCTTTTGTGATGAAATAGAAAGTTCATAGATTGACGACTTCCACATCAAAGTTGAGGAGGAGCTAAATAAATGCGTGCTTTTGTTACAATAAGGCTGAACTGATGAGCCTGTTTGAATTTTAAATAAAAACAGTCATGTTCTTTAATCTATGTGGCCAGAAAATAATGTCTCCATGTGTTAAAATTATCTTAATTTGTGGTAGGTTTAGACTTTTAGCAGATAAAATTCACTAGTAGAAGAATTCTTTTTGCAATAGATCTTTGGCGCAGGTTGTGTGGCTTGAGCTATATTGGCATTGTGAGGTACAGTGTTGGCCTTGAGTTTTATTATCTTATGCTACGGTGGCCTGATTATGTGAAGGTGCATGGAAATATCTGGTACTTCATGTTGTAGTTGTCCAGGCTTTTGGGCGTCTCATCAACTAAGATTTTGATGAATTTCGTGAAATTGAATAGATTTTCACAAATTCCATGTGAATTTCATCAAATATGGTGAAATTTCAAAATATTTGATTATATGTATTTTTATACTTGAAATCCATTCAAATCTTTTAAAATTCCTCTATTAATGAAATTTTTATAAATTCACTAGTTATGAAGGATGCCTAAATTTTTAAGAATTTCATTAAAATATCAATTGGGAACACCTAAATTTTAATGAATTTCATTAAAATTTATTAAAATTTCAATTAAAGATACTTAAATTTAGAAGGATTTTTAAAATTTATCAAGGGCAGCCTTTTTGGTATCTAGATTGAGGCATGGTATATGTTGTTAAATCTTGATGTGACTTGTTTTAAAGTTCCAACTTGCAATGTTGGTGTCAAATTCCATAGGGGAAGCTAGAAATGATTGCTTTTAGTAGCATCAAGCAAAATCCATCGAAAAATCTACATATTTCCATGATCAGATACTGAGATTTTTATACTATAATATGAGATTCCTGCGTGTGTGCCCTCTGGTTTTGTTTAAGCTTTACTAGTGACGTGCACCTTTGGGCTACAGCGTGCACATTGATGAGGTTGTAGTTGAATAAAAAATCACGAATTCTTGGACTTTTTAACTTGTGTGGGTAAATTAGGTCTGAGCAAAAAAATCGAAAAATCGATCAAACCAATCAAATCGAAATGACTCGGGTCGGTTTGATACAGGTAATAGGTTTGGTTTGATTTTTATTTTTATTTTTAAAAAAAATTATGATGGTTTGGTTCGATCATGGTTTGAAATCTCAAACCGTTGGTTAACTGAACCAACTCAACTCACTTATATGTTTACTTTTTTTTTTTTTTTTTTTTTTTTTAAGAAAGATAAAAATCGAAAGATAAGATATCACAATTCTCTTCAATTTCTAATGTTGTGGGCACGTAATAATTCTGAAAATTTTCTTTCGCAAACTCATTACATTATACTTAGAGCCTGTTTGAACCATATTATAATAAGAATGAGAAATAGAGCCGTTATAGGTCGTACACCAAAGATGGAAATTCAAAAATGGTGGCTTGATGTGATGGATAACAGTCATATTTTTCATTTTAATGAGGTAAAAATGTGGCTCAAATAGGGGCTTAATCTTTTTTCCCTAATTAGGTAGTTAGGATACATAATGTATAAAAAAACAACAAAATTCTTAAAGTTTTTGTTAATATGTCTCTAGTAACTTAATTTTATTTATTAGTCAATAATTCTTGTAATGTAAAGTTATTTAGTTATTTTAAATTTTGTAATCTAATTGGGCGAAAATCTATGAAAAAAATAAAAAAAATTAATAATAATAATAAATAAATAAATAAATAAATAAATAAATCAATCAATCAATCAATTTGAACTAAAAGTTCAAACTTACTAATCGAACCGAATTGATTCGGTTCAATTTGAGAGTTAGAGTGGGATGATTTAGGTTGAAATTCACCTAAACTGACTAATTTGATTTTGGTTTCGGATTGCAGTAGAAATCAATCCAAACAAAATCGCGCCCAAGCCTAATGTAAATTATTGCTTGAATTATTTTTTATGAGAGAATGTTTTATATGGTTGTGATGGTTGTTTCGAGATGTTTCGAGAAGCATGAATATTGTGATATTTCCCATTGAGGGTGCCTGATTTCGATTGTTAATGATTGCATTAAGAATAATGCTATTCAATACCATGGGATGGAATAGTATTGTTTTTGCATCAAATATCTGTTTATCGTAAAAGGCATCTTGCAAAATATCTAATACTGTTAATGTGGTGGTTTATGTCCGAGTGAATGTTCCTTGTACATAACCTGTTGCACATAATCTTTGACTGAGGATTTTTGGTTTTATTATTTACACACATTAGAGCAGTAATACAAGGCTCAATTAGCTGGCACAGCTTATTTTATTTTGCACCCTATGCAATTAGATATATTTTCCCTGGGGTCACTAATCTATTAAAAAACGTGCAAATAGGTCCGCCCAAACCATAATTCTTGATAGTTTCGTCCTGGGTTGTGATTTCAAGCTTGTTTGACATGATTATTGAAAAGTTAAAAAGAATTTTTGAGACCTGAAAAGAGAGTTTTGGATTCATTTTACTAATTTTATGAAAGTGATTTTAGAGGAAGTTGATTTAATTTGACTTCCTTTAGAAGCACTTTTGAAATAATAAGTTCTTCTAAAAATTAATTTTTTAAAAAAATTGAGATAATTACATTCAAAAGCTCTTCTACATGTGACATATTAGCAGAAGCCATATCAAATGGGCATTTTTTCTGAATTGATTTTTGATAGGCATGTACTTAAGGGCAAGTGAGATTAATTTTGTTCACTGTCATTGTACTTGGACACAATTTTTAATTGGATTCACTACTACAATTTTGTATCAATTGGATCGATATAACTTTTGTCTCAATTTAGGGACTTTGTCAATTTCGTCACATTGTTTAAATGACATGAAATCTCTAAATTGAGACAAAATTAAAATGTTGTATTTGGCCAACACAAAATTAAAATATAATGGTCAATTGACCCAAAATGAAGTATGCCAACGCAATGAAAAATTGAGTCGAAGTACAATGATAGCAAATAGAATTACCTCATTAAAATTTTATCACTAAATAAACTTAATCTAAATGAAGAAAACAACAAAGGGATAAGACCCTATCAACATTCAACTACTTCAATTATTTTTAGCATAGATTTTGAGGAGCTCAACATGGATTTTCCAACAAGGCGAGCGATACAATTCTCACCACTTCTTCAATCTTCATGCCATATTTGAGAGATGAGAAAGAGCACAAGCTCGTCCTCTCACATGACAATTTACCATTAATTTAGACAAACATTCTATATAGTACAGTTAAAAAAGTCGAAGGTTTTGCTTTTAATATTTGTATGTTGGGGAATCACTTTTCGAAAAGATTAAGAACTCTTTATACAAATTTTTATAATAAGTCTGGTGGTAATTAGTGCAATCTCTCAATCGCGAAGATCCTTGTTGTGATCTCTAGTGTGACGAGTTCTATTTCTTTTTCCTTTTTCCCTATTAAATTTAATTATTAAAATTAAGTATTTGCCTAGCCTTTTGGGGGAAGTACAACTTAATAAAGTTGACTTGAAAATTAGGTTGCAAAGAGTTTGTAAATCAGGGACCAATGGAGTAATTTTAATGATATTAAAAAATGAATAAATTTAACATAAAAATCTGTTTCCAGTGCACAAAGATGAACCCTTTATTTGACCCATCCGCGTGCGTGAAATATCTAAAATTATTAAAGGAAAAATAAGCTCTGGAAGTCCTTTATCTTCGGCTTCCTTGAATACTTCCGTCAAGTTGCCAACGTTGAATCGTTGATTATCCTTCAAAACATAGCATCCTCATATCAATAATCTTCCTCTCCCAATTCCTCAAATTCAATCAAATAGAGAAATAATAAAAGCATCTAAATTAATTTTGATATTTATCAAATTGCAAATCTAACCAGATAAAAATCTCATCTTCTCGATTTCAATTCATCAAAAATTGTTCATTTTTACAGATGGGTATCGAGAAAGATGAAGCAAGTACATCCTCCCATGTCCTCAATGTACCCAGAGAAGACACTCCACTGATGTCTAAGAATGAAAACCATTTATCTTCACGACCTAAGACCTTTGCCAATGTCTTCATAGCCATAGTTGGAGCAGGGGTCCTTGGCCTCCCCTATACATTCAAGAAAACAGGTTGGCTCATGGGAATTCTAATGATTTTCTCTGTGGGGTTTCTCACTTACCACTGTATGATGCTTCTTGTCTACACTCGCCGCCGGCTTGAAACCCATCTCAAATTTGGAAGGATCTCTTCTTTTGGTGATCTGGGATTTGCAGTATGCGGCCCCATCGGCCGATTTGCTGTTGATGCCATGATTTTACTGTCCCAGGCTGGTTTTTGCGTTAGTTATACCATTTTCGTAGCCAACACTTTGGCTTTTATTTTGAATCATTCTTCTTCTGCAAATCCGAACCCTAGAATCTTGGGCTTTTCCCCCAAGGTTTTCTACATCTGGGGCTGCTTTCCATTTCAACTTGGATTGAATTCAATCCCAACACTGACCCATCTGGCCCCTTTGAGTATTTTTGCTGATGTGGTTGATATTGGAGCTATGGGGGTTGTAATGGTTGAAGATGTACTGATATATCTTAAGAACAGGCCTGTATTGGAAGCATTTGGCGGGTTCAATACATTCTTCTATGGCTTAGGTGTAGCTGTGTACGCATTTGAAGGAATTGGAATGGTTTTGCCATTGGAAGCAGAGACCAAAGACAAGAACTCATTTGGAAAAGTGTTAGGCCTTTCCATGGCTGTTATTTCTTTAATGTTTGGACTATTTGGAGTGTTGGGTTACTTTGCATTCGGTGAGGAAACAAAAGACATAATCACTACAAATCTTGGGCAGGGCCTATTGAGCAGCCTGGTTCAATTAGGTCTCTGTATAAACCTTTTCTTTACATTTCCACTGATGATGAATCCTGTTTATGAAGTAATTGAAAGAAGATTCTGGGAAGGCAGGTACTGCTTGTGGCTGAGATGGGTTATGGTTTTTGTGGTGAGTCTAGTGGCATTACTGGTTCCAAACTTTACTGATTTCTTGTCTCTTGTTGGGAGCAGTGTGTGTGTTGTTTTGGGATTTGTGTTGCCGTCTTTGTTTCATCTGTTGGTGTTTAAGGAAGAAGCTATGCGTTGGCATGTAGTGGCTGTGGATGTGGCACTCATAGTTTTTGGTTTAGTCTTTGCTGTATATGGAACTTGCTCTTCCTTGGCAGAGATTTTAGCATCAAAGGATTGATTAGAACTAGTTGCTTTTCAGTTTGTTTCAAAATGTAAAATAAAATACAGTACAATCAAGAAATGTCTCAATATTCGATTTTTGTTAGTAGTTCTCAAAAATTACTACAGTGTCGTAATCTTTGATATAATACCACATGACATTTCATCATTAGAACTGTTTTAAATACGCTCATTTATTTTATCAAATCATCAGCTGCCACCTCAGATTATGTCACTGTATTTGTTCAATTTCTTGTGGCAAAATGGCAACATCCTTTGTATCCATGGCAATCAATTTGAGTTGATGTTATTTATCACTTGCAGCCAACCGTTGAACATGGCATGCGTCTGCATTTAATGTAGTTTCAATCTGGCATGTAATCTTAAAAGTCCTCCATTAACATGGTAAAAGGGTTTCATCAATTAACACTGACTAGCAAAATTTTACTTATTCTAAAGATTATGGATCTTGGCTTTACCTAATTTAGTTGCCTAGAAACTTGAAACCCCTTCTGTTCTTCAGAGGCAATGGCTCTTCTTTTAGGCTTTCACATTAATGTGAAGGAAACTTCCCGAGAACTATCGGATTGGAGGGAGGAAAAAATGCTTCTTCTTCCTTTTTTTCACTTTTTCACCATTTTTTTTTCTTTTTTTCTTTCTTTTTTTCTTTTTTTCTTTTTTTTTTCAGAACAAGTTTGTAACAACTCCATCATGCTCGTGTCCATCTTCACAATCCAGTTCCAATGTTCTGAGCGTCTTACTCCTCTTCTCCTTTCTCCTATCTCCATGTCCCCATATCGTGTTTTCTAATCTCCCTATGCATACTTTTCATGAGCTATAATTGTATGTCATTTTCCCGTCAAACTATGCACCACTAGAGCACCACATTTTGCTAATCAATGAAATCACGGCCCTCTTTTCCTAGTCAAAGGCAAGGCGAAAAATACATTCTATCAGATGAAAGAAGACCGGAGGCCTAATGCAAGTCTTTTTTCGGGCTGCCTTAGGGGGGGATCTATTACTTGATACTTAAGCGAGAGTGCATCCAAAAAAAATTCGAGAAGAAGAGTGCTCGGCCTTGGTTGGAAGCTTTCCATGCCCAAAGACTCCCATGCCTTTCTTGGTTGGACCAACCCAACCGGCCATTTCCGTCCTTTGGGCTGTCTATCGTCAACCCCTTGACTGGTAATACACAACCTAAAAGAAAAGGGGGATTTGCGGTACCCCGCTGCATAAAGCACTACAATTGGTTTTTCAATGGCAAGTGCCGGAGCATGCTGTAGAACCAACCTCCACCGTACGTACCTTTCGGTGCGACCGGAAATCATCTGTTCTGGAGTTACAAACAAGGAACTCCATTCTGTTGACTCTACCAGATAGAATAAAACCCGTATTTTCTCAAAAGTGAATAGAGATTTTTCATTCCAAGCTAGCTTGCCAGTCATGAGTTTAAATCGAAATACGAGGAAAAAGCTTGTCACAAAAACTCATCAACCACATAAGAAGGTTAAAATCGAAGGTAAGCAGAAAGACAAGTGCTTTAACTGCATAGCGTTAAGGGGAATTCCCAAGATTACCTGCAATGTAAAATCTAAGTGTTTGGCTCTATGAATTCCTGGAGCGTAAATTTGAAGTTACTGATCATATTTGCAATTGAATATAGGTTTTGAGGAATTAGAGAACTCAGTAAAGGGCAATTCAGTCTGAGTATCTTTGCATAATTGAAATTGAAACTGAATCAAGACATTGCTCGAATTATGGAACAAAATAATATTCCTTTAATATGATGTTGTTACCTCTATAGATATTGTCCTCAGACTGAATTGCCCTACAATATCTATAGAGGTAACAACATCTTATTAAAGGAATATTATTTTGTTCCATAATTCGAGCAATGTCTTGATTCAGTTTCAATTTCAATTATGCAAAGATACTCAGTTTCTTTTAGTAACTTAGTTTGAGTTCAAAATAGTAATTTTTAATTAGTTATCATAAGTATCTTTCTCCTCTGAGTTATCTTCATCCTCTTCACTCCCATGACTCCATGTAACATTAATTTCTTTCTTCTTTCGAGAAATGCTACAAGTACAACCGGGCTTACAGAAATTACAAGTGGTAAGATCTTACACCTTCTTTAACCAAAAAAACTCAATTAATTTAGCCATTAAAATGCTACCATGTCATCATCTGTAAAACTGTATTTAAAATTCATTTGTACGAAAAGCTTTGTTGCTTTTTGAATGCTTTCAATGCTGGCCCTGACTATAGGCGAGGTAGGTGATCGCCTAAGGCCCCACTTTAGTCAGGGCCCCATAAATTTTATTTTATTATTATTATTATTATTTTTATACATGTATTTAGGGTCTCATATTTGAGATTGGTCTAAGGCCCCCAAATTTCAGGGCTAGCCTTGAATATTTTCTTCTAGTATTGGCACCCTCGAAAGTGATGTGTTCGAGTTTCTAACAAGTATCACATTGGACTCGATTTTCCATCTTTTTGGCATGATGGATTCGTTGGACGTATTTGAACTTTTGGGTGAATTTGTAGCTCTTTTTGTTTTGGAGGTTATTTTTTAGGAATCTATTAAAAAAAATTTAAACCTTTCAATTATTCACTAGTTTCATCGTCCTTTTCTTTTTCCTCCATCTCTTCACCTAGTAAAGTAATCGATGATGCATTTCGCTTCTGCTTTGTGAAATGTAACATCTCGTAAGTTTATAGTGACCCTACAAGGTCTTATCAAATGGTTGTCACTTTAGACTCAAATTTGGGTGGCAAGGATCTTAGAATTTTTCTCACTAATTTGACATCAATATTTTTTCCAAGCGCATACGAAGCATTAAATGTCACATAGCTTTGCATAAGAATTTCAAAGTTTTCTTCATCCCCCGTCTTGAGATTTTCGAATTGGGTCGTGAGCATTTGTCGTTTTGACTTACTATCTTGTTGGTTTTTCGTGTCAACTTGCAATATGTCTCACACTTCCTCCGCAATATCACATGTAGAAATCAAGCGAAATTGGTTAACATCGACAATGATAAATATGTCATTTAAAGCTTTGGAATTGTTATTATAAGAATTAAAATAAGCAGTACCGTTCACCCAATTTAGCTCTAACTTTATTATTCTCAATGACTGGAGAAGCTCATAACCACGAAAAAATAGCATTCCATCTACTATTGGAGGCTTAGACTGTTGGAATTATGTTCATAAAACTTTGATTTTGTATCAATTTCGGCCATGCATTTGGATAGGTTTTGATAGTTAATTCATGTGTATGAATAGGCTAACTTATTTTACTCGTCAACTAGATGATCATGGTATATTTGAATTCATAAAACTAACTCTAAATGAATGAGAAATTGATATCCAAATTTAGGTTGAAAAAACAAGAAAAACAATCATATAACTTGACCGCTTGGGTGGCCGTCTTGCCTGTAGCTAGTGGCCAAGTCCTTGAAAAGGATGCTTGAGCGGTGCGGTGGCAAGTCAGCGAGCGGTTTGAAGGGCTGTCTTTTCGTGAAACTTGTTGAATTTTTGGATGTATCTCTACGACAACAACCCCTCAACCTCTATAAATTGGACTTCCTAGGAGATCCAAATTCATTTCATAACACATTTTTTATCATATAGAGCCAAAACACTCCAAAAATTCTTGTTTTCTTGCGTAAAATATCATTTAAAGTAAAGAGTGAAAATTCATTTTCGAGTTTGTTGATTTCTTAAAGTTTGAAGTGCTTTTACTACAAGGAGATATCGTTGTATTTTGGGAGCGATTGTCGAAACTCCGTAAACACCTTGGTGGGACAAATTCGTCTTAAAGATATAGTATTAACACTAATCTCGATTTACAGACTTCATTATTCTTCCTCATTTTTCTGCGTTTGTGATTACGCTTTACTTTGTTTTGTTTTGTTTTGTTTTGTTTTGTTTAAGCTATTCAAATTGTAATTTGCAATTCACACACATATAGACAAACATAGACAATGTACTACTATCCATTTCTAGGTTTGTGGATCTTCTACTGGAATTAGGTGAATTTGCTCTGATACCAATGATAAAGTCTAGACAGTTAAATATGTCTTGCATACAATATTTATTTTGACTTAGTGGGCTCGTTGCTTTATCCGTTATCGTAGAATTTATTTTCAAAGTTCTACCACTTTTTCTTTAATGTCAAATTTGCAATTTCTCTACGACTTAGAAACGTGCAAGTAAAATCATCAAACGACCAATGATCTGACACTGAAATTCATAGTTCTACCAATGATTTTGAAAGTTTGAGTTTCGTGTGCTCATAGAATAACACGCATTCAACATTACATTTACAATGTTTGCTTGATGGTCTAATAGTCAAGAGCAAAATGAGTTGATTCAATTAACCCTAATTTCTAGAAGTTACTATGCGCCTGCCGCTTGTATGATAGTACGTAGAGGACGATAACTAGGACAATTATTTAACCAATTGTGCTACACACTCAGGGTGAAAATAGGCTAAAAAATAGTGGTGACACGTATCGCCTCGCGATTTGACAATTTGAAAAATTAAAACAAAAAACACCCAACCATTTGTCGTCACCTCAGTCTGTCCCCTCATTCCAATGTATGTCACTTCTGAATGATCCTCTAATCTTGTTGTAGAACATAAACTATCATTTTATGCATTACACTAATCAACAATCTCTCTTGGAATCGACAACCATCCTACTAATAAGCTCATATTCTTGAAATATGGTTCGGTCTATGAACAAATATCAAGAATATATGGGAGTAAACTTAGTTTTTACGACAACAATTGATGTCGACACGAAGTTTAAAAATTGTACTCACTAGTGATACATGTATAAGAGAATTAAATTGATGATAAAAAATCAAAAAGTACCTCTCCTTGAGGTGCAATGGTCTTTTAAATGTTCCTAAGATGTTTAGGGGATTTTGATTATTTAAAATAATTTTGCCAATCTTAATAAAAAGAATTTGTTATTAAATTCTAATAAATGTGTTAGCAATAAGCAATAAATCAGTTTGAAATGAGAGTTGGCAAGGTGGAACTACTGTCTCCCATTGAATACTCCATCTCACCCAACAAAAGACGTCTCCTCTTAATGATCTGTGGCCTACGAAAAGACCATGACTCCTTGATCAGATCCAGCTCAAATCAAGGTGATGATGATGATGATTTATTTTTTGATTTATTTATTTGGAGTCAAGTTGATAAATTAACTAAATTATTCCGAATTATATTGACCTAAGAGTCGACTTCAAATTTAATGGACTTGAGTCTAGTTTAATCCATCACTAACTCAACAAGGCGACACGTGTTAGTTTACAGATTCGGATGTTCATAAAAAATGATTTGAGAATTGGTTTTTGTATCGTTAACACGTTGAAAATCATCTTGATTAGAGGACACTTATGAAAAGAGATACCCAAAATACTTATCATTTACTCTATCAAATTCTACTTAACGTATTAAACATGTCATCAGAAAATTAATCGAATATGATTATAGAATAATTTTTTTCGTCTAATAAATACCATGTTCGTTCCTAAATTCAAGCAACTTAAATTAGAAAATTATTGCAAAACAGAATTGAAAAGAGAAAAAGAGAAAAAGGCAAATAAGAGCAAAAAGTGGAGAGAGTTTTGTATTGAAGGCCACATATCACCCCATTTCTCCATTATTAATAATATTAATACTCAACAAATAATAAAAAAAAAACAATCAACTTCTCTCTGTTTTCCGTTGCACCACCCAGCAACTTTTCCTCCCATTCCAAAATCAGTCTGTTTTTCTGTGTAAATTCATCCGATAGAATCGAAGAATCTGTAACTTTGTGATTAAGGGTTTCGTTTCGTTTCTTTTTGTATATTGTTTATCAACATGTCTTGCTCGTCGTCGTCAGGATCGGAAGAGGAGGATGAGGGCATTGATTCCTACAGAAAAGGAGGCTACCACGCCGTGAGACTCGGCGATTCGTTCGCCGGTGGGCTATACATCGCCCAGCGAAAACTGGGCTGGGGCCAGTTCTCCACCGTCTGGCTAGCCTACGACACTCGATCATCCGTGCGTTTTTCTTGTTCCGATTCCGCATTTTTATTTATGTATATTCATTATAGATCACTGTGATTTAATGATTTATGAAACTTTTGATTTATTAAGTTACTGCAGTATATTTCATTTCATTTTGGTTCTTGATTTGCTTTATTATGTATAACATTCACGTATTACTGCTCATTCAAGCTTAGGAACTGCTGTTATATTTGAGTCAGATTACTTGCTTGGGTAATATTAGCCTTCCCATGATCTCAACAAGGCTGTAGACTATTTCTTTATCTGACAATAAATAAATAATAATACACATTTAGTGCTTCAATATTGGGAAAAGAATTTGGAAGAAATTTCATCATAGTTTGGCAGTGTGCTATTTTTAGTGATGCCTGTTGGATCAATAATTGGTCTGTGTGAATTTATCTGTAAACTCATAGTCCATCTACTTTCCACGATCCTATGCACAATATTTCGGCTTCTAATGGAGATATACACGCTGAGCAGCGAAAAACGATTTATGAAAGCTTTATATCTAGTGTGTCAAAATCTGAGCCGTGTTGCCTCTCTCTCTCTCTCTCTCGTCTAATTGTTGGAGAATGATAAAGCTTTGTAATATGTTGTTCTCAAGAAAAACTTATGTTTTCATTGTTCTAATATTTGCTTGTTCTGTGATGTATTTTCTTGCTCATAGAGATATGTCGCTCTGAAGATCCAGAAAAGTGCTCCACAATTCGCCCAAGCTGCTGCCCATGAAATTGAGATCCTTTCAGCCATTGCTGAGGGTGACCCCTCAAACGCAAAATTTGTTGTGCGGTTAGTGGACCACTTTAAGCATGCTGGCCCAAATGGGCAGCATCCATGCATGGTCCTGGAGTTTCTTGGTGATAGCTTACTGAGTCTTATCAAGTATAATCGGTACAAAGGCCTTGAATTGAATAGAGTAAGGGAGATATGCAAATGCATTTTGACGGGTCTGGATTACCTACATAGGGAGCTTGGACTAATACACACAGACCTTAAACCTGAAAATATCCTTCTATATTCCACCATTAATCCTACCAAAGATCCTACTAGGTCTGGGATGACCCCAATTCTTGAAAAGCCTGAGGGGAACCCCAATGGCGTAGCAACCATAAGTATTGTTGAAAAAAAATTAAAGCAAAGGGCACGGAGAGCAGTTGCTAGAATATCAGAAAGGCGAGCTTCTATGGGAGGGTTTGGGGCGCCTCCAAAGCCTGCTAGATGCTTGGATGGAATTGACTTGAGGTGTAAGATTGTGGATTTTGGAAATGCGTGCCGGGCTGATAAGCCGATTGCTGAAGAAATTCAAACGAGACAATACAGAGCTCCTGAAGTTGTACTTCAGTCTGGTTATTCTTTTCCTGCAGATATGTGGTCATTTGCTTGCACTGCCTTTGAACTTGCCACGGGTGAGATGATGTTTACTCCCAAGAGTGGACAAGGCTTCAGTGAAGATGAGGTGATACTGCCATGCCAGTAATGTATTTTATTTTATGCATTTAGCAGCTTGAGATAGTCCTCGCCATCCTTTTCTCCAGTTCTTCGGTGTGAATTTTCAAGTTATCTCTGTTTAACTAAAAATTGGACAGTCGAGGGAGATAGATTTCACCTAGGATTTTGCAATTAGTTTGTTTAACCCTTAGTTGGTGCCCTTTTTTTATTTTGTTGTGTCATGAGGCCATCTTTTAACGTGCTTTTAAATTGCTCAAGTTTGCATGTCTTCAAGAGTGAGCTTAAAATATTTTTCGCCACAATGAACTTATGGGTTCAAATCCATGGTCAGTTTGCTACTTTATGTAATAAGTACAAAATATTATGCTGTAGTCAGTTTTCCTGTTCCTGACTTCGTTAGAATATCCCTCTCTATTTTTTATGAAGTTTCAATACGACTTTTAGGTTACAATAAATATTATTCAGCGATCGTAAACCCTACCTGCAACCGTTCTTTTCAGTCTAATATCTTGTATGGAATTGTGGTCTTTTTATTTCTCTAATGGAAGTTTTTGATTGTTAATAGGATCACCTTGCTTTGATGATGGAGTTCCTCGGAAAGATGCCTCGGAAGGTAAACGCATCTTCTCTTCTCCTCTGGCTGATTAAGAACTTCGTCTGACTGTTGATTCTTTCAAAAATAAAAAATGAAATTACAGATCGCCACAAACGGGGCTCGATCCAAAGATTACTTTGACAGATATGGGGACCTGAAGAGGATTCGAAGGCTGAAGTACCGACCACTTGATCGATTTCTTGTTGATAAATTTAACTTTTCTGACACTGATGCTCATGAATTTGCCAAGTTTCTTTGTCCCCTACTTGATTTTGACCCTGATAAACGACCTACTGCCCAGCAGTGTCTACAGCATCAATGGCTCAATGTAGAAAATCAGACCCAGGAGGAGGAAAAGAGCGAATCCAGTGTTGAAAAGATGAATGTTGGAATGACCAACCTTCAAATTAAGGTGGGCAAGTGATTTAGGAAATAAAGACGTTCTCCACACGTTTGAGTTTTGCTTCCGGTTAACTTTTTCCGAACTTTCCAAAATCGTCATAGAATTTGATTTGTTGAGTAGCTAAAAGATGTAACATGGTAGTATATCATTAGCATGGGGAAATGATATCAACGTGAAGACGCTGACCAAGAATCTGATTATCGAAGCTCAAATGCATACCATATTGTACATAATAACTATATCTATGCTCAGGTTCTCAGGGTACTTGCTTTTTTGATGTTGACATCAATCTAGCAGTTCTTTTGGCCTGAAGAACCGATTGCCTGCTCTTTTGGGACCATTTGAGAAAAAGATTCTCAACATTTGATATGGTCACAGAATTGGAAACTCTTGTATGGGGAAAAACAAGGATGGATGATCTGAAAGCTGCTTTTTCAAGACCTTATCTGTTATTATTATGAAGAATTCAGTCTTTCTACTAGAAGATAAGGTTTCTGTGTTGTCCCTCTTGAGTGGTCAGCTTCAGCTGCGACAGCTAATGGAACGTCATATTTTGCTGTAGGGTTCCCAATTATTCTGATTCATTTTGGTGTTTCCTAAAATTTATAATGCTAAGAATTATATTATATTTGGAATTTTCGACTCCAGATTTTCCTACTTGGTATTTTTTTTCCTTTTTCTTTTTAACTTTCTGTGTTGCCCATATAAAAGTTCAAATTGATTGTAAGTTTTGATGCTTGTAAATCGTAAACATCAAATTTTGCTGGCAATGTGGTAGCCTGAGCCACCGTTGAAATAAAATTCCCTTGAATACCAACAAATCTGTGAAT